CACACACACACACACACACACACACAGTCTCTACACACACTGCTGCATATTTAATGAGGAGCCCCCCCATGAACAAAACAGCTTGCAGGGTTATAATGGCTTCAAGCGAGGCCCCACCCCACTGCACCGAGCCAGTGAACTCCTCCCATCCTCTGAGTGACTGGCCTGAAGAGGAGGAGACAGGGAGGACAGAAGGAGAACAACAAACTCTAATTACTCCTCTGTGGCTCACGGGCCCCTCCAGCACTTTCAATTCAGGAGCAGAAGTGAGGGAGAAGGAGGAGAAAGGAAAGGAGAGGCGACGCCGGTACAAATGGAAAAAAGACTTGTGCTGATTGAACATGAAACATCTCCCTGTGGCTCTCCGTCTGTCTCCTCTCTTCTCTGCCTCTCTGCTTGTTGGACATAATGCCCCCCCTCGCTTTCACTGCAATTGTTCATCACCCTCAGTTATCCACAGTGAATAACGATGTTTCTTCTTGCAGAGAGAGAGAGAGTAGCAAAGGACCGAGCCTAAGGCCATGCATTCTGATGGTCTAAGCATTCCCCAGTCACTTTCTGCTCCGGCAAAATCAACAGCGCAGCAAGGAGGGGAGGGAGGGAGGAACGGCTGAGCCTTCTCCTGCATCCGTATTCTCAGGGTGTTGTGTTTGTTTGTTTGTTTGTTGTGTTTTACTCATTATTTACAATCTGTATCACCCAAAAGTCCCGGTGCGTCGCTCCCTCCTGCAAATACACACAGAGGCAGAGCGAGAGGAGAATAATAGTGGAGGACGGGGGAAGCTGCTGTCGTCTTTCACAAACGGACCCGGGCAAATTAGCAACATTATGTCTGCTCTCTGGGGACGTTCGTTCTTGCCAGCTTCTGCCACGGTGCCATCATCGTCGTCACTGTCACCCGGACAGTCCCTCGTGGAGGGGCAGAGCCACTTGAGGATAGCTTCCTTCCCAGAGAAGCTAAAGCTGAAGAGACAGCTGGGCCCTGCTCCAGAGTATCCGGTTATTTTTAAAAAACACTGCTCAGTCCATGGCAGCCAGCCACATGACATTTTATTCAATTTTTTTTCATAGGTTCATTTGCTTTGTTTCAATTTTTTGCCACTTTCCGCAAACTGATTGGAATGGTTGGCTGACAGGCTGTAGTTATTGGGTTAGATGAAATAAAGGCATATTCCTTCATATTCCTGAAACAAAAATGTTTTTCATCATATCCTACCAGCTAATAAAAACCATTACAACCAGGCCATTTGCAGCATTAGAGCCCAGCTGTAATAGAAGCCATTAAAGACACATTATCTGGTTCAGCGTGTCTTTCTGCTGCCTGTGCTGATGTTGGATGAAATGGACCATTCTAATCCTCATTAACATAGCTAATTTCACATAAGAGAAAGTTGATAGTGGGTGTCAAAACCATTCAAAGGTCACCCAAGCAAGCTACGGCATTTGATATGTAAGTATGCAAAGCACAAATGTGCATGTCTTTGAGTGTGGTCAAGTAAATCTTCTACCAGTCTGAACATTAATTACTGAGAGATTTTTCTCAAAGAGGAAGCAGTGTCACTGATGGTGATGATGCAAACAGATTAAGTTGTCAAAGGCATCAAATGATGGTTGATCATTTGGACGGGAGGAAAGAAGAAGGGAAGAGGGATGAGGAGTGGAAAGGGCAACAAATGTTCATCCATCCCCGTCTTCCCGTCCGGGGCTGCTATAGCTAACCTTTGGACGGGGGCGGGTGGAGGTGAGGGGCACAAACACATCATGTGTTGCTCCTTCATCATGGAGAGTGGCACAAAGCCATGTCACAGGAAGAAGAGGGAACAAGTCTGACATTAGAGTCATGAAGACGCTGCCACATGACCTTTAAAGGGGACAATTAACTGAGCATCCTGCTCCTCACGCTGGCTGTGTTTGGCTTTATGTCACGTGTCCGGCTGCACACACAAACGTAGACGGAACATATCAATGTGTACAATCGTCCATGTATCTGGACCAAAACTGGACTAAAACTGGACAATTTATTGTAGATATGAAAAATCAAATTTCAAAATACTTCCATTTACCACCAAGAAAAGTAAATGTGCTTTGACTTGCACATTTCAAAAACCATGCTTGTTGCAGCTCGACTGACCTTTTAGGAAACATGATCGCCTCGCTCTAATTTTTCATTGAAAAAGTCGTCAGAAGAAACAAAGACCAAATCTGGACTTCTCAAAGAATGATTCATGTTGAATTCAAGAACCCTTGGGCAGTGATGGTCTGAAGCAGATACAACAATTTACATGATGGAAATGGAAGCTTTGTTGGTTCTGGCCAATCACCGTTGGACAACAGAGGACATCTCCCCACCACTCCCTAAATCAGCCTTCACTGAATAACCCAGTAAATAAACAGTATATATTAATTTTAAATGAGTAAGATACATGTAAAGTACAATGTATAATTTCCAATAAAAATGCTGTTCTATCTTATCTAAAGTTACTGAGAGGTTGTCTATTTCCCGCCGAGCATTTTTTCTGCACCCCAACAACATTGAATACTACCATCCAACAGGTGGCAGTAAGGGGGACTCGTCCCATGAACTGAGTCGTAGGCAGCAGGGCGTGCAGAAAGGTCGTGATATATTTACAGATACAGTCTTAATGAATAGCTTCAGAATCAGTCGCTGAACTTGATCACAGATGGAGACTGGAGTTGCAGAGTGTGTTATTTACAAAACGCAGAAATAAAAATCAGATGTTCAAGAAGAACATTGCAAGAGAAGGTCAGAGTCGAAGATTTGGATCCTGATCAGTTGGACATCATGACACTTTGAGGACTTTGGGAACACAAATGTTCATTCAGCCCAGCAAACAAAAACAAACGTATTTTCATTTATTAAAGTCACTGCTGTAATGCCGTAAAACACTTTTTCTTGATTTTTTGCATATGCACATTTTGGCCCTGAAGAAAAATGCTCAAGTCACCACTGATTCTATAAAAGCAGCATCATTCTCATCAATCAATCCACAACCTCTTGCTGTCAGTTCAGTTTCTATCAAACACCAAAGCTTGTCAACCCTTGACAACACAGTCGGATATATCAAACATATTTCAAGTCAGGTAAAAACACAAAGATGTGTTTGTTCATATATTGTAATCAGAAACTGGACGACTCACTTGGCCACCCTGGTCCGTGCAGTGATGCTGGCCACGATGACGCTCTCTGGTCTCGGGGTGGCCACTGCCTTGAAAGTGCCCCTCCAAAACTTCTCAAAGAGCTGCTTTTCTTCCAGCTGCTGGAGGCCGGCCGTGCTGCCCTGCGATCCCAGGGACGGAGCGGGGCCGCAGGGGCCGAGCTGGAGCGAACACTGGGGCTGCATTTGTAGTTCTCCAAAGCAAACCGGCTTCAAATCGAGTCTCTACCCACTCATGGGAAAAAAAGAAACACACAGTCCCACTGGTTGTTGCGCAGGAGCTGTCCAAGTACTGAATGAAGCCGTGTGGCGAGCAGCGTCTCTTTGTGCTCTGATCGCAGCAGCAGGTCAATGTGTCAGCGCGTCTGTCTGCTCTTCACTCCCGAGCGGGAGCGTGGGGCGAGGGACAAAAGCTGACCCTCTGCAACTGGAGACTGGGTATTGTTCTCACAGATGAGGGAAGGAGGGGTAAAGGGGAGATTGTGTTCCTCTCTCTCCGCCTCTCCGCTTCTTTCACATCTGCTGCTCTTTGGGATGGGGTCTGGGTTGGGGCGCCGGGGGTCTGAGCGCTCCTTCTCCTCCTCCCCCCCCCCCTGCCTGTGCGCTCTCGTCGGCAGCTTCACACACGATCAGGCATCACTCGGGAGAGACGAAAGCATGTCTCAGTCCTGGACATCACCAAGTGTTGTTCTGGTTGTCGGAGTGAAGTGGTGTGTGTGTGTGTGTGTGTGTGTGTGGAGATGATTGCACGTCCACGAGCTGCGGCCAAGCACTGAGCAGGTGCTGTGGCAAGTATCGTGGCGTGTCTGAGGATGAACGTGCGTTGGAGGGTGTGAGAGCGTGTGAGGGTGGAAATCGAGTGAGGAGCTCAGCTGAGAGCAGCTTGTTTTGTGTCTCTCAACCTCTGACGTCAAAGTTGGGGGCTGGACACGGGAGAGGGACACCTTCTGTCGTCCTTGCTCGCTCTTTCTCTTCAGGTCTCTCTGTCACACTTGTCTCACTCTACTGTCGACTTTAGGTTCAGTTCTCCTCCTGGTCTGTGGCGGCATGAGTTTCTCTTTCATTCTCTTTTATTGTTGCCTTTTTTCCTTTCTTTCTTTCATCCACCATTGTTTGTTTGTTTCTTTTCTCTTTCTTCCCCTCTGTCTTTCTTCCTCTTTTTTCTCTCTCCCATTTTCTCTCTTCTTTACCTTGCCTTACTATTTCATTTCTTCCATCCATCTGTTTCTTTCTTTCGTTCTTTTTTCCTATTTCCTTTTTTAAAATTAATTCTTTCTTGATTTCTTTCTGTCTTTCTTCCTCTTTCTTTCTTTTTTGATTTTCTTTCTTCTTCCTTCCTCCTTCCTTCTATTTGTCTTTCTTTCTTCTTCTACACTACTCTGGGTAAAGTTATGGACAGCTGAAAGGAGATTAAGATCTTTGTTTGGTGATTCTATTCTTTTTCTTTTATTATCCTCTGAATATATTGATATGTCTCCTCTACATGCAGCCTGGAGTATGTTGTCTTTCTTGCACTCTTGTCCTCTTCCCTCACACACGCAACACACAACCACACACAACCACACACAACTACACACAACACACACACTCCATCAGTGTGCTGGACAAAAGGCCAAGTAAATCAACATAACAAAAGGCCTGGCTCTGTGAGGACCCACCGGAGCATGTGGCTGACACAAACCTCCCTCGGGGGTTTTCAGTTTTTCTCCTGTCTTCAGATACTTTTCCTACTCTGCTTCTACACTACTCATAACACAGAGCAGCATCTCGACGGTCCCCTCCCCAGCTCTACCTCTTTTCTCTCTGCTCTTCTTCTCACCGTCTCTAATGCTGCATATCATCCGCTGCTGTAACGTGTGGGACCATGCTTATAAACCTCGGGAGGGATTATTGATGCGGGTAAAGCTACTACACTGTTTAGGCTACATCAGAAAAGTCTGTGTGATACTTTAAAGAATAAACGCTATATATAGACTCCTGGCGTTGCTTATAAGCCGTCACATGAAGCAGCTGACTCAGAAACTGTTTATTAGAAAGACACCATGTAGAACAACCTCACTTTTGTAACAGTTACATCTTTTCTGCAGAGCCAGAGGAGTGCTGCTCAAATATTTTCACGGAATTTATGAATTCATCAATGCGTTGCAAAATACTAATCTGTGTTATTTTCATATGTTTTTGTTAGATGTCTCACTTGCCTCTATATTCAACAAAGGGTTGTACATTTTCAGTTTGCACACATTTGCAGCTTCGAGATTACGGCAATTTTAGGGCAGTTCTTTTCCTTGTTGATTAATCTGACACTTGTTTTTCTATGTATATGTTCTATGTTCAACCCCTCTGACAGGCTGCTTCAACACCTGTTACAGAAACTGCACCTGCCCACAGTGCCCAGCCTGCAGGGGCTGTACACCCAGCGGTGAGGTTTCTAAAGGAAACAATACGTCCCCACAATAAGAAAGAAAGAAAGAACTCCCCTAACTCACACCCCCTCAGGTCATAAGACTCTTGAATAAATAGTGTAATTAACCCAGTGCCATTAAACACCTTGGCTAAACATTCATCATATTTACTTCTCATTAACATATTATTATTATGTCTTTGTAATGAGTATTCTATTTTACTTTAGGAATGTTTTAGATTTTTGTACACATTTTAGTCTCTAACTGCATATTTATCACATTATTAACATTTTTATTAATATTCTATAACTATAATTATTCTTTAAATACGTAAAGAAGAATAAAGAAGGCCAACACAGTAGACAACAATTAGTTGAATAGAGGCAATCGTGGGTGCCAGGACAAAAATCTCAACTTTACTAAAATAACATTGAGTCGAAATATAACATTCACAATTTGTGAATTTATATCATATTTTGTTCCAAGAGTTGTGGAATTTTAATGGTATTGGTGCTCAAATGTTTGGTATTGTGACATCCTCATTAGATTATAAATAAATTCACCTTGCATAACATCCAGGGGAGATATATCTATAAATGAGATCTGTGCACAATTCTATTTTCATCCAGGATGAACCTGGATAATCACACAATATTCCCTCACTGTGAGTGGAAACAAGGTGTGGTAAACAAAAGTTTTCACGCACTGTACTGACACATTGTAATGTGAACTGCTCTTTCCCCTGATGAGGAGTTGTAGGTATGGGTGGGAATTAATATCTCTGCCTGCTAATAGATATGCATGAATACCTAGCGCGGTACCTCGTCTGGATTGATAATGCATATATTAGCTGATAACACGAAACCTTGATGTATGACAATGCCAGGCGCTTAATGATAAGTGCCTGCTTCATCAGTGTGCTTTGCATAAAGATGTAGCAGAGGCGCTCTCGAATCAAACCACAGGGCAGAGACGAGGCAGCCCGGCAAAACACAGAATATGTTTCGTTTATGGTGGTGAATGTCAAACAGACGCTTCTGCTGTGAGATGAAGTCGAGGTTATATTGGAGGGCTGAGCCGAGGGCGACGGGGTGGACTTCCTCCTGCTGAGTGTTTTTATGAAGTGCTTTTGCCAGCAGTGGTTTTAGATGGAAAGTTGAGCTGAAGGACACAACTCTACTGTGGAAAAAGTAATTAAACTGCGGAGAGACAACCATTTCATGTTTTAGCCTTGGTATTTTCATGGAGAGAATTGCACTTCGTGACAGTAATTAGTTTTGTAGTGATACACAGCTACATTTAGTAGAGGAGACTTAACGCTGTTCATCATAATCGGTACATAATTGACATTAATGCGCTCATGGTAAAGACACCACGTCGATATAATCAATATAAGATCAAAAGCTGACATAATCTAAGATTGTGCTACTTTGCATCTCGCTCCACAACAAATGAACAACTTGTTAAAAAAGTAAATTACCGACTTTAGAGACTTTTAAGAAGGCTGGAAGAAGAGGTGCTGAGGGGGATGGAGCACCTCCTACTGACAAGGAGTGTAACTGCAAGATACATATTTCCTGAAGAGCAGCATTGCATTTTTTATGACATTTGATTTAATTATTAGAACGTTTAGTGCATTTTATGAGTAGCCTGCACTGATGCACAGATGTAGAAAAAGTCATAGGCTAAATAATTGACATTTAAACTCATACACAACACAGAACCAATGAATCCCATAAACATAAGTCCCCTCAATATGCTTGATTTTTTCCTCAAGGTTTACAAAAATGTCAAACAGACCTTATCATCCATTGTTACAGAAGGTCCTGGATCCGCCCCCTTAATTGAAATCACTCCAAAGGTTAACAGGTTCCTCTTTGGCTCTACTCGAGTTCTCAGGTGGAACAAATGATCCCACGCACTGTAGCGTCCTCCATATTCTAAGCAAAACAACAAAACATTACTGAGTTACTCTACTGATAGGTCGAGCCCCCTCTGCTGAATCATGAAGAAAACTACTTCAGAGGGTCTGACGGGCTTTTAGGCTGTATTTTGAATTTGAATTAGTCATTACAGCTCAAATATTAACCCTCGTTCCAACATCCAAATGAATTTTCANGCCCTCATTCCAAATCCATGCCAAAAGTTAGTGACTTATTGCTTGGCCCATTTACCACCCTTCCACCAAGTCCTCTGGTATACAAACAATCAAATAAACAAACAAACAGACAAAGAGCATGAAAACAAAATCTCCTCGGAGGTGGTAATGAGCATGAAGTGCATCTTTTCAAACAAAATCACAAATTAGTTAATGTTTTTAAGCAGCAGGGGGAAAATATGAAAAGTTATTGGCTTTGCACCGTCACATCTCTGCCTGACAGTAATTGCATTTGTTAGAGGAGCTGGATTCATCTTTATGGATTTTTTTTAAAGTCACAATCTAGCAATCTATACAAGAAAGGGAAAAAGCAAATTGTTCAGAAACGTAATGTTCCTTTCTTTTTACCAATGAGAGTTAAAGTCGATAAGTTTCTTTTTGTGCCTCTTCTGCACACTGATGCATAATGAAAGTTATTCTTGCTCTTTGGTGAAAGTCACATAAAAAATAAGTGAAAGAAAAAGTTATATTTCATCCTTCACACAAAAAAGAGAGAGAAAACAGAGAAGTGTTTTCTTTTCATCGCTTTGTTCATTTCTTTTTCATTTTCACTTTCAGCATGCACACCTCCACATAACTTCAATAGAAGTCAACCACTGGTATTATCTGGGGATGAGCTGTCACTGCAGCATTCAGAGCAGCCAAGCGTACTTTTTAAAAAAGTTTTCATAATAAAAATAATATTTTTTCTCTCTTTGTGTGTTCGGGTGCAGTTATGAACTTTAGAGTTCTGTTAATTAGCCCTGAAAACTAAAACAAATGTGAAACGGTGACCATGAGAACCGTCAGTAAACAACTTCTGGTTCCTAAACAGTTTGTGATTCATCTTGTTGTCAGAGGATGATCAATCGCATGTTTCTGCAGCTTTTTTAAATGTTCTCTCTCTGCTTTCATCCTACATCTGCAGCTGTCCGAGCCGATGTTGCCTCACAGGAAGTGGAATACAAACACGTCTCGGCTTAGGCTGCACCCACATTATTTTTTGCCTCATCATGCATCATGAAAAGGTATATAACAGATCGTCAACATTTGTCACAAGGTGCCGTGCTTGCTTCCTCAGAACAGATTGTGCCTGGAGGGGTAATATCAGATAAGACTCAATCGTCCATTCACACAGAAATTTGTTTTGCACTCCAACAATTACAGCCTTCAGATGAGGAGGAGAGCAAGAGAAAGATTTATTAGATGTACAAATATGGAAAAAGGGGGACACTGAATTGGTGTTTGCAGTCTGTTTTGACAAGTATTCATTTTTGTGAGGATCAATATCCGACAGCAGATGTTTACTGACTAAATGTCAGAGGTGATGAGTGTGCAAAAGAAGAACTAGGTTGAAAAGGTGCAGGTTTATTGTACAAAGAAGAAGATGAGAAGAACATCTCTCATAGATGTTTCAGTGTCTACAACATAAGACTGTATATAAAGATGG